TGAGCCTTGGAAAGTGTGAAGAAGGTGTATAATGATAGAACAACCGCTGCTACCAGATGTAAAAGTCAAGAATAAAACCCTTTTATTAGAAACTTTTAGGCATGAACAGGATAATTTTATGGTTGTAAAATTATTAGTTACTTTATTTCCAGGTCAAAAGGGCATCCTTAAATACATTTTTAACGTTACAACCTTTTCCAAATAAATAAAATAATAAAAATACATAAAATATTATACATATATCTATATAAGGCTTAACCTTCTGGAAGACATATGTATAACCACATAATAAATATAAACATAATAAAATAAATGGAAAAGAAATAGTAAATGAAACCCCTTATGCACCAAATAAGTATAGTTATAACCCCTTGTCAATCACATATGGTAATATTGTGATAAACATTATTATTAATACTATTTACCCTTGCGAAACCCATATGGTTTGGGTGATCGGCACCCCTGACGATCATGGCATGTATCCAAAGTCATGTGACAGGCTAAGGACCCAAATTGTTACATTAAAAATTCCTTATAAATTAGAATCAACTCCAAGTCAGATTTTGCTATTACTTGAGGCAATATATACGTTTAAAGATTTGATTACAAATAATTTAGCATTAGTTAAATCAATAGATAAATTGTGTAAGAAAAATTATAGTAGAAGAGACAGTAGCTTTAATGTACTTAAGATTAAAACATTAACAACGCCAATTAAAAAATAAATATTTTTTATCGATTTTCAATAAATAAAAATTTGTAAATATATACAGTATTTGAATAAAAATTAATCTTTTAACATTAAATATTATAATAATTGGAGTGAGTATTTGACTAACATAATTGCATAACATGATCATGTGGATACTTATATCCTATGAATCTTATATTTCATGAAATAAAAGTATTGGATAATTTAATATTAAACAAAAAAATGAATAGATTTATTAAGTCAAATTGTTTTTGAATGTTTTATTTAAAATATGTGAAACATAAATCTTTAAAATAGCATAATTTCTTCTAGAAGACAAAATATTGTACTAAAGTGTACATAATAATAAAAATAATAATTAAACCAATTAAATGAAATAATAATAAGCAAAAAACTACAAATAATAAAAATAATAAAAAATATTTTAATTAAAAATTAACAAAAAAATAAGCAAAAATAAAAAAAAATTATATTTCTTGAGTGCAACTATTAACTTATTATAATAGAACAGCTAACTTATCTATAAGCTTTTATATAATATATTCTTATCTTATTTTCTACTTCTCTATTCTCAAATCAATACAAATAACAGAACCAAATTATCAACATATCCAATCAAATATCACATTTTCCACCAATCAAAATTCCCTACACTTCAATATATCCCAATCATAATAACTTCTTTATATCAATCAATTTAGACTTTCCTATTTCAAGTAACATAGAAACAGGAGCTTTTGTATAAAAGTAAAAAATAATTCATATAATATTTAAGATTTTCAAGTGATAACCAATATTTAAAAGATTTTAAATATTAATCTGTTTATTAAAAAGTAAAGAGATCCCCCTTTATAATTAATTATTATAGTATAATCATTATGGATTTTTCAAATAAATATAACAATATGAAAATATTTACTTTACTCAATAACTTATTACTATTATTTGATTTTCACTAATATTTAGTTCCGAAAATATTCTTTGTTCTAAAATTTTTCTGTATTATTAATTTACTATAAGATTTTCAAAATGTCTAATATTTTAAATAATTCAGATATCAAATTACATTTTGATCAGAATTATTGGATTATGTCGTAACAAAAAATTTACGTTTGGCCAGACTTATTATCTATTATCATGACCTATAAAATAGCGATCGAGTTGAACTAATGAGAAAAGACACTCAAATATAAAATATCAAGGGTCTTGTCAGACAGATGAAATCCATTTTAGTTGTCAGTAAAAGGCAAAAGCAAAGATATTGAAATGGAAAGTGGAGGTTAATAAAGTTACTATATTTAAATTTTATGGTTTTCAAAGGAATTGATAACAATCTTTAATTTGATTCCAGTCTGGTCAGACTTAGTTGTTCTGTCTGGTCAGATTTAGTTGATCCCAGTCTGATTAGACATGGTCAATTTTAGTCTGATCAGACAGGGTCAATTTTAGTCTGATCAGACATGGTCGATCCCAGTCTGGTCAGACTTAGTCAATTTTAGTCTGATCCGACTTTGTCGATCCAGTCTGGTCAGACTCTACTTAGAATATGTATCCAAAAGTGGTACATTAGTACCCAATAAAATTTATCACATTTAAATTTAGACGCGATTGGTCGATTAACATAGTGGATTTAATCAGATTTTCATGCCTTAAGTATTTACTTTATTTTTTTTGTTAATATATATTTATGTCAAAATCAGACTTATTAATGCAGGCTCTATTATTTACCAAGCAATTTACATGAAAAGAACCGATCGCAAGCCATGTAATTAGTGACAATTCAATTCTAAATAAATCTAATATTGAAAACAATCACGTAAACAATGTTAGTGATCTTTCAGTTCCCGATTTTATTAACATTATTGAGACGATCAAAACGAATAAATCAGTTAATATATCTTGTGATAATAGCACACTCTAAGAAACTTAAAACATAAACATGCTCTAGATAGAGAAATTGGAAAAGATATAATTAATTCTGGTTTTCAATTTTTTTGAATTAATCTTTACAGAATATAAAACAATTTTGGTGCATACTAAAATAAACATCTGCAGAATTACTGTATATTTAAAGTGTGATCGTGTGACTGCATATTTCAAATGTTAAAATAAAAGTTCACGTGATTAACAGATTTTCAATTTTTACGATTAGCCCTTGCATAACAAGAAGAAAATCCCCAAACCAACCATCATTAATGAGCTAATCCGCATATAGAATTAGTATTCTCTTCTTACGAATCACAACCAGTACATAATTGCTATTGTGGATAAAACGCAAAAACAATATGATCTATATTAATAGTCATTAAATTTTTATTCAGTCTGTATTCCATTTCTATTTTGATTTATGCATGCGTTATACTTTTTGCATATTCCAAGGTCTAAATACATTGAGAGGTTTGCAATATAAATGCACAATTTTGCTTCATATTAAAACAGAATTACACTTTTTTATTTTTATTTTCGTTTTTATAAGAACATAGTCAAATTCTGACTTGCTTAAAATAAAATGGAAAATTCAAAATTTTTTGTGAAATTAGGTAAAATACAAAATTTTATTTTACTTTAATCATTTGATTTTTTGCTAAAAATGTTTTCTTTAATAGAGATATTTTTTTGTGCGATCAAATGCTTCATCTTTTCAGTGAACCTATTTCCCGGTGTCAAAAACGCGATTAGCTGTCATCTTTTATTGCCCATTGTCATTTCTGTACAGTTTGCTGTTTTTGAAGTCTTGAAGATGATAAAAGAAAATACATTTTCTCCCGCCTTCTTTATTTCAGTTGGTATGTGTCAAATAATTGTGATTCTCTTGCATTCTTATTTATTAAGTATATTCAAGTGATAAAAAAAAAAAATTCTCATATAACTAGGCCTTCTATCTTATATAACCGAGCAATATATTATTTTCGCTATTATTATATTGATTGAAGTATCATGTTGATATTAAATTATGATTATATTAGGGGATTTTTCTTTAATTTTTATTTATTTCTTTTTATAGTCAAATCAGCATAACGTTAATAAATAATAAAGTCGAGAACAAAAAAATTTTCTTTCTGCTTTTGGATATTGCAGTAATAAAAAATATACTGTACTTAGTGTTCAATGAATTTATCGCATTCAAATCTAGAAGTGATTAATCGATTGACATATTTTCACAATCTCATATACCCAAAATAGGTTTTAACCATTCGATTTTTTTCACCTCGCACTTTCTTTCCCTTGTCAGAAGACAAATGTATGATGACGTATCGCGAGGGAAAAAGAGTTGTAAATATAAATATGCCGGATCTGGAGTATGTTTCTACTATTTTTCGTTTTTTTTTCTTGTCAATATGTCCACCACTAATCTTTATGACAAAATCTACGACTTTTTAGTAAACACCACTGAAGAGCATATTACCACAGGCTCCATTATTTATCAAGCAATAGAAGAAGATCCTTGAATACCACAGAATGAGTTGAGGAGTATCATCGATCGAGTAATAGCATCAGTAAAAAACCTTTATGAAAGAAGTTCTCCTCAATATATACGTCTTCTCGAAGTATTTCCAGAAGTAAGTAGTAGTTTCTTGACTTTAATAATGGTTTCAGATGAAGAGTAGCAAACAGTGATACATTTATGAGGAAACGAGTATAACAGTCGAAAACATTCTACAGCTCTGTGCCAGGATTTGATCCTCTTCACATGAGGGAGTGTTTAGATTGTGGGATCCTATGCTCAATTCTATGTTGTTATTTAGTATTACACAAAGTTTTATCTGCGTGATGGCCACACAAAGATAGAGCTTTGCTTATATTCTGATGGCACATGTGATTTAAAGGAAAATTTATAATATAATAATATATACTAACCAATTGTATGTCTATATTAGTTCGAAATTTCTTACAAAACTGTATGTAGTTTATGTGATCTCGGTGTTGTAAAATGAAATCAGAAGAATCTCTTTCGATGGATAAGATTGCAGTGAATATCGATAAATTAAAAAGGAAGCTAAAAAAAAACACGTCATCACTTTATCAACATTTATACTCTGGCGTGAATAGCATATCTATTTCTGAATTAACGTGGAAGGAGCCAATTGCAAGCCAAGTAATTAGTGACAATTCAAGTCTGGTGCAAAAGCTTCCGAGCCCGTCACGTCATTTATTCATAAAACCGACGTGACAAATGATCACATTTTTTCCATTAGTAATTCAAAGAAAGAGTGCCGAATTTATATCAAACTATACTGAGAGTTATATAAGCAATTTACACAGAAACCATCACATGATAATGCATGGAAAAAATCTGATAATAAACTTGTGGTTATTGCTGAAAAAATTTTAAATGCTTTGTAAGTATATAACCTAGCAAAGTTAAATTGTAAAACCTAATAACTCCTATCAATTTGATAATATCTAATCATTTACTAATTTTCATATTATAGAAACGATGCATGGAAAAATCATTCATTTCGCCCTGATTTTTTAGAATCACTAAATGAAGGAACATATACATCCAATGTAATCTTACCTGCAATTCGAGCAACATTGCAAGATCTTCCTCTAGGCCAATCATCATTTATCAGCAGTTTCGAAAAACAAAGCAATGCTAGTGCTGATCGAAAAGGTGGAGATTTTCAGGGAAGGTGACCGGATATTATGTTCGTGATGAAACATAATAATAAAAATAATGAACTTCTTTATGTTGAGTGCTCACGCCTTTCTTGTACTAAACAAAAAGCTCAAAATGATGAGGTAAAGTTATGGAGGGAGGTTAATGATGGAGTTTTTCTATTCCTAAAATTTAACTAGTCATTTATTTGTTTTTATTAAAAATAATAATTTCATAAATGTTTACCAATCAACGTTAACATTGTTTATTCCTTCTATAGTGTCATATAGCAGATCATGAACGACAAGATGAAGATGAGTATCTTCGAGAATAGATCTATCACCTTTACATCTATTATTATATCGTCCATTGGACCATATTTTATTACTAAAAGTCAAAAAAATTAATTATCAAAAACAATTTTTTATACATAGTAACTAATATATACTCACAGATTCTTATACATTTGTAAAACGTATATATACTCTTCTTTGATCTCTTTTTTTATTATTTTCGGAATTTCAACAGCTTCTTTTGACGCTAACTTTCTTGTCCAGGATATAAATGGTTCTTCAAATCCTCGCCATTTTACGAAACAGTCAATATTAGCAATCTCGTTAATCTCATCTTGTGTGAATAAATTGGAAACTATAGGATTTATGTTATCAAAGTCTAAAATAAAAGAAAGAAGAGGATCATTGAACGAAAAGTTATGCAAATCGAGTTCGAACATTTTTTTAGACAAACGGCAAATAAATTCATGATAGGAATCTTCCTGAATAAAATAAATTAAATAAAATTAAATAATTCCATATAATAGTGACTGAAATAAAAAAAATAATTACCGCTAATACTTCATATTTTCTTTTGACGTTAGAAATATGCGATTCCAATTTATCATATTCTTCCTTTTCTCTCTCTAATTGTGATCGACGACGAGATAATACATGTTTAGTTGTGACACTTGATGATGAATTTGTTGAATCTACATAAAGCGCAAAAAGGTGTTAGTTCATATTCATATTAAAGCTTAAAAAAAATTGAATAAAACTTGCCATCTTCAACAGAAAATATTTGGTTATTGTTTAATTCTTGTGATAATTTTTGGGCTACAATATAATAATCGTGACCACCTAAATTGTGTTTAAATGCTTGCCAGACAGTTTCTGCGTCTTGATCCCGTTCAGATTGGTATGGCTATTAAACAATATAATAGTTTTATAGATTAAATCTGCAAAAGAGTTGACCATATAAATTCATTTATAGTTTCAATGTAGCAGTTTCAAAGTTTCTTGCAGTGTCAATGTTAGCAATTGGTCTCAATTTGCAAGAGAATTGGCCGTACAAAATGGTAATATGTAAAACTTTTACTTTATACTATCGAATTTTTTGTCTTCGTTCTCAAAATCACTGTTCACAAAAGGAAATAAATGCTTTTTCGTTTTTCGCATCCTCCCGCTAAATTATAGTCTCCCTTTCACCAAGTTATCGTTAAAAATCTTTGTTTTAGCTATTTCTTTGACAACAAAATTATTGCCCGAATTTTTCTCTCATTTTATATATAATGAATTATAATTTACTTATCATTTTGTTCTAAAAAAGAGATCTTTTGATATAATGACTAAACAATCGTGGAAATAATTTTCACATAACTTTTAATTTTATCGGTATAATTCAAGAAATTACTTTATTGAATATATAAAATTTAATTTGACAATTTTTATAGTAAAGCCTGTAAGATAAATAATAATAATTCTTTGACAATTTTTATAGTAAAGCCTGTAAGATAAATAATAATAATTCTTTGACAAAGCTATTTTTACAAGATTTCTTGAAATAATCTGACTATTGTATTTACTTTTATACCAGACTTTTTTCGCCAATTTATTGCCATTTCTTTATTTTTCGCAGTTCCAATTCCATCTTTATAACATTTTGAAAGATAGTATGCTGCCCTGGTATGTCCACCTTCAGCAGATTCCCGATACCATTGAAATGCTTTCTCTTCGTCTGCCCTAGTTCCAATTCCTTCTGCATAACACATCCCAACACAATATTGTCCATCAATAGATCCACCTTTAGCAGATTTCAGATGCCATTGAAATGCTTTCTCTACGTCTTTCGTAGTTCCTTCACCTTTCCCATAACAAAGTCCAGTATAAAATTGTCCTTCAGTATCTCCACCTTCAGCAGATTTCAGAAACCATTGAAATGCTTCCTTTTCGTCTTTCGTAGTTCCATGTCCTTTTTTATAACATATTCCAAGACTTCTTTGTGCTCGAGCACATCCTTTTTTAGCAGATTTCAGAAACAACTGAAATGATTTCTCTTTGTCTTGCACAGTTCCAATTCCGGTTGCATAACAACGTCCAAGACCGCATTGTCCTTCAGCATATCCACCTTTAGCAGATTCCAGATACCATTGAAATGCTTCCTTTTCGTCTTTCGTAGTTCCAATTCCTTCTTCATAACAATGTCCAAGATCGCATTGTCCTTGAACATTTCCATTTTTAGCAGATTTCAGATACCATTGAAATGCTTTCTTTGCGTCTTTCGTAGTTCCGATTCCTTTTGCATAACAATGTCCAAGATTTCTTTGTCCTTGAGCATTTCCATTTTCAGCAGATTTCAGATACCATTGGAATGCTTTCTTTTCGTCTTCCGTAGTTCCAATTCCTTTTTCAAAACAATATCCAAGATTTCTTTGTCCTTGAGCATCTCCACCTTCAGCGGATTTCAAATACCATTGAAATGCTTTCTCTTTGTCTTCCGTAGTTAGTTTATTTTGGCCACTTGTATTTCCATCTTCAGCAGATTCCAGGAAACATTCAAACGCTTTCTCAAGATCCTAAGTAAATTGATTTCAAATATAGTTATAAAGTTACATAATAAATAGCTAGAAGATATAATGCTGTAATTAAAAGTACACTTACTTTTTCTATCGTTTTGATTTATAAATAACATGAGAGGTGTTGTTGTATCGAATAATATTTATGAAAAATAAATTGATAAATTTGTAACTTACCAGCGGTCGATCTAATTGGAATAAAGACCCACAGAATTTCATCTCCAGGACCAACCAAGTAGTCTGAAAGTTCCGAACGGTCTGAACGCGCTGCATATATGGAGCAATCTTTTACATTACAAATGGCTGTAGTATACCCACCGAGACGTTGTTCGAATGTAAATTGTTGATATTTATCTGCCCAATCTTGAGGTTTTAATTGGAAGAATTTTTGGGACGGAACCCATGTGACACACATTTCCATTTCTTCTTGTCCGGGCACGTATTTAGCAATGAAATATACGTCGGGGGTATTAGTAGAGAGTAGCTTCCACAGTTGGGTTGGATCATTTTCATCTTCATTCATGAGAGCGATGCGATTAATGTTATCTGATGTCCAATATTGGTTTGCTGCATCTTTTGCTTTAATGTTGTATTTTTCATTATGAATAGGGAAAGCCCTAAAGAAGTTATAAAAATTAGTTTATGCATTACAAAAATTCGGGAGAAGTAAAAATTTTTCATTACATGTTATCTTTTAATGTGACGGTTTGTTTAAGGGACTACAGTTAAGATTTTAATATTTATACAACTGTTTCCTATAAAAAAAAAAATAAAATTAGAAATTTGTAAAACAATTATATAAAAATGCGCATATCCTTTATTTGTCGCGACTATTTTCCCTTTTCTATATATTTTAGCCGGTACATGCAAGTGTACGCCGTCTTTGTATGCAAAAAAACAGGATTATATCAGAATACGGAAAAACTTCGTATGATAGAACCAAGCAGAGTTTTTTTTCCTATTTTCGATGCATCCCCTTGCGTCACTCGTACAGTGTCCCTACCGCATTGGTACAGATATGCACATGGCGCATGTGGAGTGAAATTTCCGGCTATATATACAGTAAATCGTGGTTTATAATACGTGATCTGCAAATTCGTAAATTTTACTACGTGACGATCACGATTCCCATCACGTGAAAAAATAAATTTCGGAAATTTCACTCCAAATGCGCCATGTGCATATCTGTACCAATGCGGTAGGGACACTGTACGAGTGGCGCAAGGAGATGCATTTCATGCGGTCAAAAAAACTCTGCTATATATAAAATGCTATATAATGATGAACAAAGAATTCAATAGATCATGATAATAAAATCCATTCACTTTAGCGAAGCATAGTGGTGATTGGTTTATTTTTGTAGATCATTTTGTGATTTTTATAGGTTTTTATTGGTTAACAAAATTAAATTTTGTGCCTTAACAATATGGGTTTATCATTATTTTTTGTTTTGGAATAAACTGCGAAACTCTTGTGCCTTGGAATCAATTCCACCTGCATATTATTTGTAACCGTCTTAGTAAGTTTCTGGAATATGCTGGTTTCCTTTCCTGTTTCAACTTTGTTGTCTACATAAAATTCGGTCACCGCACGCTTTTTTGATGAGTTGACCAGCAAAATTCCACCTTCGCCAGGAGCAATATCCTTTGACACTGATTTTTTGTTACCAGACATATCACTAGATCCCTCAGCAATTTCACCGTTGTTGCACCATATGGCTGAGTTTTTTGTTTTATGGTGCAATAATCTAGTAAAATGGTTGATATGGGTCATTCGCTAAATTTTTTGGCCCAGGTGGTACCATTGATGGAGGTTTATTGGCTGATGAGTCAACATTAATGACTCCTGAAGATTCTCATTCTCCATTGCCATGTGTATTGACTTTCATTGTCTCCACTTTTTTTTGTAAAGTTCTCATCATCTCACCACCTGGTATCCTTGGAAAATCCTCCTCTATGTCTTCAGCAACTTTGTCATGTCACCTAATCAATTCAGATTTTCCTCAGTAAAATTTGTAAATGTCCCATTGTTTGACTAAAACATCGAATTAAAAAAAAATTCTATTTCTTTTTTGATTGAACCATAGTTTTGTCACCTTTGTCTGAGGAATCAGTTTGAGTCTGAAAAAAAAATAATAATAATAAATAAAATAAAAGGAATAAGTTAAAGGAGAAGCAGGAAAAAAAAAAAAAAAAACTTTCAAGTATGTATAAAATAACTCTACCACTAAGGTCTCTGTCTTAGCAATTGTTCCCTCTTATGTTTACGCCCTTTACATATTAAACACTCATCTTTCATTTACATTTCAGTATTCACTTTCTCAATGTGCAAGAGCTTAGGCCAATATATTAAAAGCAAGACAAATTAATAAATCAAAAAAATAATTTCAATGTTTAATAATTATAGAATCAATACTTAATACCTTCATTCATTTCCAAAATTATGTGTGCTTCTTGATTGTCTACTAAGCACAGATCTCAATCTTTTCGTTAAAGTATATCCTA